TAAAACTTACCTTAGCTAACTGTATAATTACTAATAAGTAAAATGCAAAGATCTAGTAATTATAAGTAAGTAGTTTAAGCTTGTAAAGGCTACATAATTAAAGTATAGCATTATAGATTAAGACATATATAATTTTAATAAGATAGGCTTTTAAATAGGGGTTATATTAAGCTAAATAGTTATTATAGGCATAGATAGATGTAATTAGCTAAAGGCTATACAGCTAGGCAACTATAAATAGGTGACAGTTATTGCAGGCATTAACGCAGATAGGTAGGCAATACCTCTGTACATAATCTTTAAAGGCAAGCATTACCTATCTGCCTAGTATAAAGATAAAGATATACTAAAAGACTAGGCTATTAGTGTTAGCAATAACAGCTAGATAACTAATAAACATAGAATTACATAGCTAGAGCACTTTAATCTGCACATAAAAAATTACTTAGTAGGCTTATAGTAGCTGCTTATTTTTAATAGCTATAAGAGCTATTACTCTATTAAATTCCTAGAGCTTTGTAAGCAGAGGCGTATTATAGCGCTCTGTATGCTAGCACACGCGTTACATATTCTACAGCTGCTTAACGTTAGCTGCTTTTTGCTGTTAAAGCGCGTGTACAGTACTAAAATTAGCTAGTTAATCTACTACTAGATTAACTATATTAACAAGCTAACCTTTCTACTAGCTTTTAAAGCAGCATTTAGTTACTTAATTACAACAGATAATATCTGCGCAGGCTTTAGAGCTATAGGACTAGTCCTATTTAACCTAGAGCTAGTGCTTTTAAAGCTTAATATACAGCTACCTAATTAGCTAGCTACTCTACTACTAAATACTGCCTAGGAGGCTTAAACACTTAGTAATTCTTATAAAGTTAAGGCTTAGTTAACTCTACTATATAATTAGATTTAAAAGCATTAAAATTTATTTTTTTTTGCTATGCTTAATCTAGCAAAGCAGCTAAGTAAGGGCGCTACTAAAATAGCTTATGTTACTGTTCTACAGCGCAATTAAGCAGCTGCCCTAGAGAGAGCCTATAAGGCAGCTATAAAGCGTAAGCAGTATAAAAAAAAGTAAATTTAAAAAGAAAAAACTCTAATAAGTTATTAAAGCTTTAAGTTAAGTACTTAAAAGCTTGCTAGTATAGTAAAAAGTAGTAAAATGCCTTAGAAGAAGTTAACTGCTAAAAGCAGCGCAGCGCGCGCACAGCGCTGCAAGCGCTGCAATAAGCCTAGGCATAACTCTTATACATGCAAGGATATTAAATAATTCTATAGTAGTTTATTTTATATAGTATATTTTTATGTTGTTAAATTAATAGTCTTTAAAGTTAAATTTAGTAGTAGGGCGGAACACTCGCTTGTGTTGAACATTCGCTTGTGGACTATGTTATAGTTAAGTTTTAGCAACTTTATATGCTTATTATTATAGTAGCACTACTAGTGCTTTTTTATTATTAAGTGTTATATGTTAGCTAACTTCTAGGCTAATACCTACGCTTTATGCGTATAGTAGAGCTGTAGTCTGCATTATAACTACTATATATAAAAGGTAGTAGCTTTTTTTTCTTTTATATACTAAATAAATAAACTATTTTTTTTACATATCTTTTTCTTTTAATTTTGTAATAAGAAAAATAAGTGTGTATAATAAAAAAATAAAAAAAATAAGCTTTATATAAAAGTGTTATTAGTCTAGTTAGTTTAGAGCATCTTTGCGCACAGAATTTAGCTAGTCTACAGATGCTTCTATCTAGACAGAGAGGTAGTTAGTTAGGACTAATAATTAAAAAGCCTAGTTTAGTGTTTTTTTTATATATATATTTACTAAGTTATTTTTACTATTAATTTACTTTATTTTAGTAATTTCTCTTTTTTTATATAATTTATAAAGTAATATAATGTTAATTATAAGTTACTTTTTACTAGTAGTGCTTAGCTTAATAAAGTAATTATATAAAAACTTTAAATTTATGTAAATTACTACTAAAATTAGTAGTAGTTTAAGCATTTATATAATTTACTATAAAGTTATACTAAGTGTAATTATATTATTAAACTTTTTAACTATTTTATATAGTTTACTAGTAAAGACACTCTTAGTTACTCTTTTACACTTAGTAAAATTTTAGTGTATAATGTTACTTAGTATTTTAAAGTAGTTACTTTACTTTATATAGTTTTTATTACTTAATATAATTAAAAATCTTAGCTATAAGCTAAAGTTTTTATTATTAGTAAATAATCTATTTATAAAGATAAACAGCTTTACATAATTAAGCTATAATAGTAAAAAAATAAGACTATACTTACTATTATCTATCTACTATTAGATTTATATGTTAAGTGTGTTAATATTATTATGTAAAGGGTTTATAGTTTATGTAGTAATAGACAGGTTAAATGCTGCCTTTAGTTAACACATAAATGCAATATATACTTTTTTTTATATATTACTTAACATATTATTATGCAGTATTTTTATTTTCTAAGTTAATTATATAAAAGTAGCTTACTTATCTTTTTTAAGTAAAAACTACTATGTTATGTGTAAGTTTAATTCTTCTACTATTAAACTTAATAAGCTACTTTTTTACTAAAATAGTTTTACTTTTTATATAAAACTTTGCTTTTTATAGTTTTTTTTTCTTTTTACGCAAAATTCTTTATTATAATGCTTAAAGTGTTGTCTATTTATAAGCTAGTAATACTAAATGTGTGCTCTTCTTTATTAGTAATTAAAAGGTAAGAGTTATATAAAAAAATGTGCATATATAGCTTTTTTTTATAGTAGTTATAGTATGTCTTAAACTAATACAGTCCTAATTTAGAAGCTTTATATAAAAGTTGTACAACCTAGAGTATTATATTTAGTAAAAAGCTCTAGCGCATCTTCTTTAGTAGCTTTATATATAGTGTGCGCATAAGCTTATCTATTAATTAAATATATACTTATATAATATTACATAGTTTAAAATGTATTTTATATATAGCTCTTAGGCTTACTTTTATAGCTAGAAGTAGTCTCTAGCTTATTTTCTAAATAGTTAGTAACTAAGTAAAAATTTCTTTTTTTATTTATTTAAGTAGCTAGTAAACACTAGGCAGAATTTTTTATATAGTTAAGTTATTTTGCCTTTTACTTTTTTGTAACGACCGGCTATCCAGGTGTTTCCTAGGCTGTCGTAGACTGGCCTAGACTGCACTAGGCAGTCCTGGACAACTCCCAAACTGTGCTGTTAACCCCGCACTTCCTAGACAATGCCTACCTCGCCTAAAAAGCTAGGCATCCTAGACAGGTAATACTTTAAACTGGACCTACAGCATACTAGATCTGTCGCTACTAGCGCTGCTGTACCTAGCTCTCTAGAGAAGTATATAGCTAGTTGTAAAAGCCCTTTTTAGATAGTAAAGAATTACCTTAGAAATTAAGTAAGTATTAATTATACTTCTATGTTATAGTTACACCTTTATTAGTTAATACACCTTTTAATTATAAAG